GGCCCTTCGGAGAAGAGGGGTGGGGGGGGGGGGGGGGGTGACTTCCAGAGGTGTATGGAGCATGTCATCTGGGTTCACACAGTCAGCGTTGATCTGTAAACTGTACAAGATTACATGGGACAGGGTTCATCTACTAGCACAGAGACGGATGAATGAGGAGAGGGGAGCAGGGAGAGGGAAATGTCTTGTCTTGCTGTGTCTGTGTGTTTGTAGAGACACGTACAGCTTACTAGCACACACAAGGGTGGCTCTATAGGATCCTGCAAGGGAAAGGAGCCACCCTAACACAGGATATCAGGACCAGGGCTCAGGGGACCAGCTGATTCTGCAGGAAACTAAAGCTTTTAAACATCAAGGAGCAACATCCATTGTAAGTGATTTTGTCAGCATTTTAAAAAGCTTACAAACCCTTTGAGTTTAATATTACTTTAAAGACTTGGTTGCTGGAAGGATTTTGTCCTGCAGAGGCCCTCTCAAGTCTTAAAGAAGAACTCCAGGCATTTAAACAACTTACCTTTGCATTAGATGTGATGTAGTCAGCGGTCCTTAGACCATGTCTAGTTTAAAGAAGATCTACAGCTTGTAGAAAAATGAGGGGGCTATCCCGGCACTGCAAGGGTTAGGTGCTTGTTTTGGTCTAGGGGAGAAAATAAAGAAGATATACTCACCCGATCCTTGAGCCTGTGACTGTCAGCACACTCTGGCTGTGGTATGTCCCTCGGCATCCTCATGTCTAATACAGGTGAATGGGCTGTTTTAGATGTGAAGACATCAGTGTTTTTTTTGACCACTGGAGCCCGGGAGAGAAGAGTCTGTGGGGACCGGTCTAGCAGCCAGATGGAAATGAGGATCAGGTAAGTATATCTGCTTTAGCTGAGTGCAGGGAATGCCTCTCAAACCTTTAGGATATGAGGCTAAAAGAAAAGATGGCGCCTAGGCACTGTCATATGTGTGGAAGTGCTCTTCTGCTTCTAATCTGGAATTCTACTATAAAAGTGCATTTTACTTATTTCCTTTGTCCCATTAAGCTGTGCTAATGGATCCATGACAGTCACATTTTACATTTTAAAGGAGTTGTAGAGTCCCAGTGTTACGTACCTTATTGGATGTGAGAGGAGGCTTCCCTTGCACCTTGTGTCCTGGGGGACTCTGGGGATGGGAACAGAGGCCAGAAGGACAACAAGTGGCAGAAGTGCCAGTGGTGTTGAGCACCATGCAAGCCGTAATCCGATGGGACGAGCTGAGGTCAAATCCAAGCGGCAATCAAGGTACAAAAGGGTTAGGCAAAAAAGTAGTGAAACAAACAGTTCCGAGGTCAAGGCAGGCAGCAATCAAGGGTAGTCAGGGAAATCCGGGTCACTAGAATCAGGCAAGTATAACGAAGTCACAGGAACAAGGAATAGCTGACGATAATCCAGCAACATGGTGGTGCTGTGGCTGAGCTTATATAGGGGAAGTGATAGCTTGTTATGAGTCACTTCCTGTGCGCCACTATGGCACGTTTCCGTGCTGGTAGTTGACCGCTTCTGCGCATGCACGGAATGGCGCGGTCCTGAATAGTACATGAACGTGCGCCTGGCGCATGTGCAGTTAGCGGGGATCCATTACACCCAGCATATCCTCTCCTGCTATAACATCAGCATTGTTATATGAATTCATAGTGGAGTTGTCTCTGATAATGTAATCAAAGCTTACTTGAAAAAATCTCCTTTATGTAGTGAGCTCTGCCTTCCATCTGCCCGTCACTTCCAACAACTTCCTGGATTCCCAGTGTGCTTTGCGTCTCTGTCCCTGCTGCTTGATGTCTACTTATCTTGACTACATATCCCATGAGGGATGCACCGATACCACTTTTTCCAGACCGAGTACAAGTACCGATACTTTTCCTCAAGTACTCACCGATACCATATACTAGGGATGCACCAATACTGTTTTTCGTTATTAAAGAAGCCAGGTGGCGTGTAATGACTGATTAGCCACGAAGCCGTCTCTGTACTCCCTCATCACTAGGTGACGAGGAAGCATTGAGCCGGCTTTCTGGCTAATCAGGAAACCGGGGGGTGGGTAATGACTCGCCGCCCAGCTTCCTGATTGGCCATCCAAGGAAGCTGGGGGGCGAGTCATTACCCGCCGCCCAGCTTCCTGATTGGCCTGGAAGCCAGCTCCATGCTCTCTGGTGACGAGGTGGACCAGGAAGTAGATACATTCTATTTGTAGATAAATGAAAAACATGTTTGTTTAACTAATGAATGTAATATGATTTTAAATCCACATACAGAGCTGCATGCTGTGGTGATTTTTAGCGAAACGGGGTAAACGTCCACTGTAACTATAGGCCCACAGCCGCTCGGAGGCTTTAAGGCACTTCATAAATAAATCAAATTTAACCAATTAAAATGCTCTCTAAGCACCAAATTTCTTCCATCACCAGGATTTATGATTTGCACAATCTGCCTTTTGGGTATTAAAAATAAAAACAAATGAAATTGTAATTTGGTTCATCCACTTTGTTTTCGGCAAGTCATGCATCACCCAACTCTGATTACCATCTGCTGCACGGTCACAGGTCCACTTTCAGCAGAAAGCTTTTTATAGTTTCTGCTTTACCAATACAGATGCTCAGCAATTTCTCTTGTTATTTTGGTCCTTCCGGTAATTGGAGAGAACATCTGGGTGTGAGCACTGATAAGTCTTGTGGTTTAGTAGAAAGAAACATCAGATAATAGCAGATTATGTTACAGGTTGTGCAAGGCAGAGAATTGTCTTTCATCTACTTCTCTATGTCAGAATTGCTGACAGTGACTCAGATATACCAGGTTATGTATACTTACAAAGGAAAAGCTTAACCCCGGCGGTCTAACAGCTCCTCACTCTGCTGTCTTGTAAACAATAACAGAATTTCCAATCACAGCCTGGTGATGCCCCCTTAATGGACAACTATACCTATGTACAATCGTTCTTTAACAGATTCCCCCTCAAGCCCTATAGTGCATCCTATGGCGTGTGGCCGAGAGCACCTAAGAGAAGGGAGGAGTCTGCAGATGCCAGAGCATTGCACCCAATGCAAAAATGACTAAATGGCCATGTTTTTCTTTTATGAAGAAGTGTGCATGTATTATTTTTTTTTACTAAAAGGTGAAATTTCCCTTTTTGTTTGATTAAAGTGGAACTCTGGGCAAAACTTTGATTATCCCTTGCAGTGGGGCTCTTCCCTCCCGATCTACTAAGCTGACCTGTGACAGTCTCATTGTCACGGGTCAGCTAGAACTATGAGGTGAGTGAAAAGCACTCACCTCATAGTTCTCCTTTAACTGTGTGGATGGAGTAATCTCCACCTGGGCTAATCTGTTGCACTTTTTCCATCTGACCACAGAAAATCTGCAGATAATTGTAAGGTGTATGGGCACCTTAAGAGCAATCTGTCTCAGATGATCAGGTGAGAATGACTTTATTTTCCTCTCTAAAAACAGATGAGCAGGGCTGCTATGGCCAGTTTTCTCATTGAGATCCATCAAATCCTATTTTACAGATGGATCTCCCCAATGCACAAAAACTCTTCACCCATATTTTTGTTTCATCAAACATTGTGGTGATGCAACGCTAAGGGGTGGTAACATTACCCTAGTAAACGCCATTATCTAAATATTGGGTTGTCACTATGAGCCTTTGATTTTTTTATCAATGTATAACCTTTGTAGCTATTATGGAATATATGTAAATTATTATTTTTTTTGATACCCGAAGTTTATCTTTAGTACAATATTATGGCTATTTTAAAATAACTCTATCATTTTATCCCCTCTCACAGGTCATCCAGTACAGGGATCGCTACCAGGACCTACAGCAGAGCCTGGACCTGAGCCAGGTAAGAAGCAATAGACAGAGGCAGATTTATAAGAAATCTTGAAAAGCTGATCTCCAAAGGATAAGTGTTGGCACTGGTCTTGGGCAAGCACTCTCAATCAAACCTAATTAGCTATTTGAGCTGCATTGTTAAGGTGCCCATACACTGTACAACCCTCACAAGACTTTTGTCTTGCGAGGGTTGTAAAGTACTTAAAAAAACGTACGATCTGCCCATCTTGGACAGGCAGATTGTACTTGCGATCATCGCAAGCCCGCCCCCCTCAGGGGCGGGCTTCCGATGACTGCAATGCTGAACGGGCAGTGTGCGCGTGCGCACACCGGCCCGTTCGGCAGTGATCTCTCGATCATGTTAAAAACCAGCCGAAAATCGTACGATTCTCGGCTGGTTTTCCAACATGCTCGATATACAAAAGTCATGCGACCGTACATTAGAAACGGTCGCACGCCTTCCGTACACTACACGATTCTCGTTCGATCGCGGGATTTCACGCGATTCTCGTACGAGAATCGTGCAGTGTATGGGCACCTTTAAACAGCAGTGCGGGGAGGGGGGTACGCTTTGACCACCTTATCTCAGCATCTGCAACACCTGCCAAAGCAGGACAAAGCACTACATGTACATGTTCCCTGGGTACAAGAGGGACACAAAAGGTTATTGGGGAGACTTCTTTAAGCTGATTCAAGACACAAGCCAAGCTACGGCCTTTCTCCTCTACAGAGCTGCCTAAGGGAATTGTTTCACCTTCGTTGGACCTTGCCTCATACCAGGACACTTCACTGGATTAAGTGATTCAGCCCCCCTTGATTTTACTTCCCCTCTGATAGGTTAACTGTCATCCAACCAACACCAGTGTGTGTGCTTGTATCAGGTCGGTAGGGAAATTGTACGTTTAGGACATGGACAGATGTAAACTATTCTAAGTACTCTGTAAAGCAGTGACGTGCGGTACCTTCTATGCTGGGTGAGACATTCCCTCTGCCTGCACCCAGCACACCAACGCCCCGCCCCCCAACCCGATTACCAAGCTATGTGTGGAGGAGGGAAGGAGGAGGATGGGACGAGACAGAGAGGAACCTCCGTGTCTCTCACTTGCTCGTCACTGGCGAGGCATCGAGATCGATGTCCTCACTGTTTTTTTTTTTTTTTTAATTGGACAGCTTGGACCAATGGCGCTTTGTCATTGGTCCAAACCATCCACAGAGCTCAAGCCTCTAACACAGAGTAGAGGCTGTTGCAGCTCTTGCGTCACTATGTTAGGTTACACACGCAGTGGGGAAGCCTGCTGCTGTGTAACCTAGCTACCTGTCAAAAACCGGATGCAGCGCTACATGTAATTAACAAGCAGCGCTCCGTCCATGACAGGTTACACAGCGGGGAGGCTTTTACTGCTGTGTAACCTGTAACAAGCCGATCTGAATGGAGAAAAAGCTGTCAGCTTTAGACTTGAAGCTGACAGCTTTTTCCTCCATAATACTAAGTGATGCTCTGCCTCCCCTGACTTCACATCCCTGCTGTAAAGTGAAAGTTCTCATTTATCCAGGCCTTGGTATATCACCTAATAGAAGTTAGTCACATTCAACTGGGCTTGTTCAGAGCATGTCCTGTTCAATGTTATTAACTATTATATATAGTCTGGAGTGCACTGAATAATATGTTGGGGATACAGAAATACAATGAAGAACTAAACACTTTGCATCTTGTTTTCATGTCCTGTACAGAGCCATGAAGAATTAGAGTTAGAAAAAGCTCTGCTGAGACTGGAGGACGAACAGCAAAGGTGTGTAAAATAGCAGATACATTGATCATTTGGGTTAATTAAGCATTAGGTTATAATTAGTGACATGAATGCATTAACAGCATCGTTGTGGGTTTTTTTTTTTCCATGTACAGATGTCAGAGTTTTGCCACTACGAATGCACTGCTAAGAGAGGACCTGGAACAAACACAGCAAGCCAACACTTTGCTGGAGGAAGATCTACATAAGCTGACAGCAGATTGGTCAGGAGCCAGACAAGAACTGGAGAGAAAGGAGAAAGAATGGGAACTGGAAAAGGAGGTAAGAGTTGAATGCAAGGCAGTAACGTTGGCTGATAAATCAGAGGCGATGTTAAAGATGGACCTACTTTAAAACCGAACTCCAATGGAAGTAAAAAAACTACCCACAATGGGGCTCCCCTCACACAATTATGAGGTGAGTGATTTTCACTCAGCCTCATAATCTGAGCCGACCTGTGACAATGAAACTGTCACAGGTCGGCTCAGTAGATGGGGAAGTGAGCGAACACATACCGGCGCTCACTCACTTCTCGATCCATCCGTGCATAGAGCCGTGACAGGGGAGGGACTGGATTCCCCCCTCCCCTGTCCGATCTTCCAGCGCTGACTGGCGGAACGGACGGTGGAGGGGGCAGGTACAGCTGCCTCTGCCTCTAGATAGGCAGAGCCAGCTGTCACTCACGCAGCTGGGTGGATCCAGGCATAATTGTTGGGATCCTTTCCGGCTGCGGCATCTCAGTATACCGCGAGCTGTAGCTCGCAGTATACTGAGCTTTGGGTGACAGTAGGACGTTGGTTTGTGTCCTCCCGTTACCCTTAGGAGAACTATGGGGAAAAGCCCTAACCCCATAGTTCTCCTTTAAACTCGTTTTTGCCTACAGTGCCATTAAAAAGCAGTTTTACTTACTTTAAATATGTATCTGTTCTCATGCTGGGCAGAACTTCTGTTTTGCAGCAGACTGCCTTGTCTCAGGAATGGATACATGGTGTCTGTGTGCAGGTTCACAACCTGAGCCAGCACTACAGGAAGAGGCACTCAGCTGCAAAGGGAAGTTCTCCCCAAGCATGAGAAGAGATAAGGATTTAAAAGGAAGAGCAGCAAAGAGAAGGGAAACTACCATGGATTACAGTAAGGCACACATTACAGTATTGGTTTATGTTAAAAAATCTGAGGGTTTAATGTCACTTTAATACTACTTTAAGAACAGACATGAAAACGAAATAATAGACATCAAAGTAATAAACTTCAACCACGACAAGGTCTAAAGCATTAAAAGAAATATGATTGTTGAATAGAGATTTATTATTTGTGGTTCATAATTTTTCTCCGGGTCTGTGCTGAGTTTTGGCAATTGCGTGCTTGATACAGGTGTACACCAGCCGGATACAAGGAGAGCACTCCCGCCTCCTGCGTCTGTGGACCGAGGTTGTCTCATTTCATCGTCTTTTTCGGGAACTGAAAACCGCAACAGAAAGGTATGATGCAGAAATCACTGAACCATGGCAGTGTGAATTTTATGTGCAATATTTTCGGAAGTTTCAGAGTGATATTTCTGTACATAGCCGCATATGGTGCTTAGAAAGAAGGTTAATTTTCCAACTTCTTTTTAGGGGGTTTCTTTGGGGTTTAGCTGCTCATTTGGTGCAGTTACACTTAAGTTGTAGTCCTTCTTTATCCAGCACACTCCGAGTCTTATACGCACCTGTCTCTCATCCTCCAAGGGATTTCTGACCAAATAGATCTCAGAACCTTCTCAGACAGTCCGATACGTGCAGTGTCCACTCTCATAAATTTTAATGGAGAACTACAAGAGCCAGCAGGCAGACAAAATATTTTTTTTAAATGTATATTAATTTGGATTTTGTTTCTGTAAGGCCTCACACGAGAAGAGGCTCCGTGCACGTCCGAGGCTGCGTGCACGTCCTTATCGGGCAGCTCCCGGGAAGGACAGGTGCTGCGTATGATTAGTACGCAGTCCCCATCCTTCTCTATGGGAGTACGCGGCCATAAGCCGCCCTAGGTTCATCCCAAGTGCAGGTCCGTACAGGTGCGGGTGACCCGGCTCGGATGCAGACAGGATCCATCCTGTCAGTGTACGAGTACGGACACCCGCACAGATGTGCACTTGAGGTGAGCGCAGGGCTACGTATGGCCGCGTACTCCCATAGAGAAGGATGGGGACTGCGTACTAATCATACACAGCACCTGTCTTTCCCGGGAGCTGCCCGATACGGACGTGCACGCAGCACCTGTCTTTCCCGGGAGCTGCCCGATATGGCCGTGTGAATGAGGCCTAAGCATCACTCACTGTGAGAGAGCTTACCACCACTAGGCCTACACTTTAAGAACCATTGTGTTAAAACTTTTTTTCATTTTTTGATCAGGTGCTGTAACTTCATTTTACAAAGGACTGTTTTTGTTTTTTTTTTAAATCCTGACAGAGATTTATCTGCCCTGCATGCTGATTGGACCAGATGTTCTTGCCTTCTCCAAACTTCATGTTCCTCCTTTATCTCATGGAGGTTGCAGAAGCCACACAGGGGGCCAGAACCGCCAAACTATCTCTTAGTAAGATGGAACCATGGGGTGAAGTCAGTGGAGGAATCAGAGCAAGAGTATACCCCAGATACTGAGATAGAAATGTCGTCTTCTGACACTTCTAGACCAAAGGAGCAATCCATAAGATCAGAAATGGAGCCATCCCAACATGATATGGACAGGTCACGCATGGTGACGTTGGAAATGGAGCTAACGTCGCTTAGATCACAGCTCAATACTGCAGAACAGGAAGCGAGTTTGCTGAGGTCACACCTGGAGACATCAGGAGGGGACGTGAACTTGCTGATATCACAACTGGAGGCATCAGGACAGGAAGTGTCCTTGCTGAAGACACAACTAGAGGCCACAGAACAGAAATCGAGCTTCATGAGGTCACAGTTCGAAAAAGGTTGCGAGGAAGCTAGCTTAATGAGGGCACAGTTAGAAGTAGCAGAACAGGATGCAAACACGATGAGGTCGCAACTAGGGAGAACAGGACAGGAATTGAACTTGTTGAGGGCAAACCTTGAAGAAGCAAAGCAGGAAGCAAGCTTACTTAGGTTGCAACTGGACAAAGCACAGGAAGCGGGAAATTTAGATTCATTGAAGTCACAGTTGGAGCTTTCAAAGCTGGAAAGTAAATCATTAACATCTCTTGCTGAAGCATCAGAGCAAGAAGTAAATTCAATGAGGTCACGGCTGGAGTCGTCGTATCAGGAAGTGAATTTGCTGAAGTTAAAACTTGAGTCCTCTCTACATGAATTAGAGTCAAGCAGGCACCATAGTGATGAGCTGGAGCAGAAATTGCTCTCCGTCAAGTCACAGTTGGATGGCTGCTTTAAGGAGGTGGAGTCTCTAAGGTCATGTCTGAAGGGGTGTGAGGCAGAGGAGAAGTCTCGCTTACATCACATGAAGCAAGAGCTGCAAGAAAGGCAGTAAGTATTGCGAGGAACTACAGTAAATTGTTGTCATTCAGCTACATTCACTGTTAATCTATGCACAAATAAAATGTGTACCTGCTAGTCCATCCTTTGCTTGAGAGCACAAACAGATTAACATTCATCTCCAAACGTGCATAGGGGAATAATCCAGCACTCAATTCCAAGTTCCAATGCTTTATTATCCAAAGTCACATGCATACAAGGGGCATTATTATTATTATATAGGATTTATATAGCGGCAACAGTTTGCGCAGCGCGTTACAATATAGGGAAGACATTATAATTACCATACTATTTAAGACAAGATGGTAAGGAGGGCCCTGCCCCTGAGGGCTTACAATCTAAAGGGAGGGGCAAGTGATCCATAAGGAGGTAGCTGTGTGGGGATGAATAGTTTGCAAAGGAGTTCAGTGGTTAGTTTGAAGTGGGATAGGCTTCCCTAAAGAGATGAGTCTTTAGTGATCAGCGAAAGGCTGTCAGAGTGGAGAGGGACAGGCAGGTTGTAAGCAGTTCCAAAGAATGGGAGAGACTCTGGAGAAGTCCTGGTGGTGAGCATGGGAGTTGACGAGGTAGCTAGAAAGCAGGAGGCCTTGGGAGGAGCTGAGGGGACAGTAAGGCCCGGTTCACACCTGGGCGTTTTGTAGCGCAATCGAACGCTCTGCAAAACGCTAAAAACACCGTAATCTCATTATTTCCTATGGGTATGGTTCACACCTGGGCGTATTACAGGCCGTATGAACGCGCTACGAAACATCCTACGCCCAAAGAAGTACAGGAGCTTCTTTGGGGCGTTTTTGTCGCGCGTTTCCATTGAGATACAGCCAAGTAGCCCTCGGAAACGCGCGTTTGTCACACGTTTTTTTACCACGAACCGCCCAACAAACGCGCGACACGAAACGCGCATATTCGATACGCCTATGTGTGAACCCAGCCTTAGGGTAATACTTCGATACAAGGTTTGAGATATAGTAGGCTTGATCTGCTTACAAGTTTCAGCCACAAAGGACCCTTGTCTTAGCGGCTGAAACGCATAAGCAGGTTGCATTTTTATGGTTTATCTTTACCTGTCAGCTACAGGAAGTCGCTTCGAAAGCAGCTTTTTGCTTGCTTGTCATGCATTAGGTGCTTAAAATCATGCATTTGATCCCAGAAAAAATAAAATACTCAGGTTTACATTTAGCTTTGTATAACCTGCCTTGAGATTTAAAGAGAAACTAAACTGTGCCCAAAAAAAAGCAGGCAGAGGGCAAATGACTAGTCACCATTATTGCCTGTGGGCACAAATTCCCACAGACACACTCCCAAATCTTGTGGAGAAGGAAAAAAAAAAAGCGGGGGCTGTTATAGCTATAACGCGGGGCCAAATCCATAACTAATGCGCATGGTTTAGCAAAGGGATTTCCACAGTGCTCACATTGGTTTGATGGCCAGGTGTTTGCAAATGTTTGCTCTTATAGTGTATGTAATGTTGATAGCCCCATACAATTACCTTGAAACAATTTGGATAGCAGTGGTTTGTTGACCACGTAGGCATCTAGTCCCACAGATTTGCTGTTTGTAAATTCTTGTCTCTAACGCTTCTTTTTTTTTTTTTTTACCTCATCTTTAAAGCCAACAATTGCTTGACGCTGTTGTGTCAGAACGCTCAGATCTTCACCATGATGTTGTGTTGCTACGTGAGGAACTGCTGCGCACTCGTCTGGAGTTTGACTTGTCCCGTGATGAAAACTCTGGTCTACAGAATGCTCTTCACAAGGTAACATAAGCCCGGACGAGAATCTTTAGATCACAAAGTCTGACCGTGCATGCATGGAGATCATCACACAATATAACCGTTTTCATGGTAGTCTCTCTATCATTTCTTGCTGTGAGTTGTTTGTTCGGTAGACATTGAGCACTGTTGACGGATTTGGAAAGTTTTGTCCAAGGTGCATTACCGTTCCTGTTGATAAAGCACAGAGGACAGGTAATTGATCACTGATCCTGAGACATCCTAAATAGTAAAATGCGCATGATGAGAGAAGGGTGGGTCCTCCAAATGCTTAAAGGAGAACTATGAGGTGAGTGATTTACACTCATCCTCATAGTTAGAGCCGACCTGTGACAATGAAACTGTCACACGTCGGCTCTATAGATCGGGAAGTGAGTGAACACATACCGTCACTCACTCACTTCCCGCTCATCTCCCTACAGAGAGCGATGATGATCATCTCCCTGCAGAGATTCCCCCTTCCCCTCTCCGATCCTCCAGCACTGAGTAGTGGAACAAATGAGGGAGGGGGCGGGCACAGCTGGCTCTGCTTCTAGATAGGCAGAGCCTGCTGTCTATCAGCCAGCTGGGTGGATCTCGACAGTATTGTCGGGATCCGTCCCAGCTGCAGCGCTCTCAGTATACAGTATAGCGAGCTATATTCTGAGCTTTGGGTCACGGGTGGATGTTAGTATATGTCCTGTGACCCTGAAGAGAACTATGGGATAAAAAGGTTGCCCCATAGTTCTCTTTTAATCAATCATGACTGAATGCCTCTGTGTATAGACACCACTAGAGAATAACTGAATGCATTTATAGCCAAATTACGGCCAGGTAACAAAACATTATCGTTTACCCCCCTACCTGCTCCCAGGCAATTTATAGCTTTTAAAAAAAATTAACATACACTTTCCCTTATCCAAAGGTTCCATAACAGCCAGCAGCCCAGTCCTTCATCTTCAGCACTGCAAAGGGGAGGTTACCTCTGGAAGCACCGACATCCCTCCCTGGTAAAGTGGATGCTGCCAATTTGCCTGACAAGCATTTACTCAGATGGTCCTGCAGTGAATACAATGCACTGACATTGATGTAAGGGTGTTGTAACAAGGTCAGTTGGCTGCACAGAGACCAAAATTCAAAGTGAATTTAGCTGACAGGTCACCTGTAACTGGAGCATAGGAAAGATCACAGGACTGTGGATTAAGGAAAGTTTTTGTGGGTTTTAGATAGAAAGTTTCTGGAAAAAAACAAGCCTATAGGATGCCTGGGAAGAGGTGGAGGGGTAATAAATAAGTGGTTTTTATTTCTGGTCAGAGCTGAGCTTTATATTATTTGTAACAAGGTGACCCTTTGGTGTTCCTCAGGCAGAGAAGAGGATTGCTGATCTACTTGTAGAGCAAAACCATCAGAAGAAGGATTTAGAAGATCTTCAAGATGCCGTGACTAAGATGGGAGACCTAAATCAAGCATTGTCTTTGGATAAAGTGGAACTGAACAGCCTGCTGCAGCAAGTAAATAATCCCAAGCCATTAATTCACTGCAATCAAATGTTATAGCTAAACACTAAGGGCCCATTCACTTTTGCTGAGTTACACTGTTACGTATTGAATAGGCTGTTGACACCCCACAATGCAGGAAAAAACAGGCATGTACTATTTTTTCTGATGCAGTGCCACCACAGTGCACATGCCATGCAATGCAGTGTGCCTTGCTTGTTACTATACCAGTGTGTTGATGCCATACAATGTACAACACTGCGGTAATGCATGGTAAACCACACTTTATTCCCGCAACACATAGGCCATGAAGCAAGTTCATTCAGGACAAAAGATTGCCAGTTAAAATGTTACAGTCAAGAAAACATTGTCTATTGCGAATGACATTTTCATATTTACCACATTAAAACAGCAGGTGGCTGGCTGTGGTCTGCTGGCTGAAAGTTATTAGCAGACTATCACTTTTATTTTTATGTAATGAGATTGTAATATCATCCTTTGATGTTCTGCTCTATTTAGAATACACAGCTAAATGAGTCACAGCAGGCACACCCCTACCCTCCCTGTCTATGGTTACTAAGACTAGGTGTCAGTTAGAGATGTAATGTCCAAAAGTGAATAGCGCATGCTGGGCTGTCTTACTAAAAATTTGTAAATGCTCTGCAAACACAGTCTCATGGAAGCAGTGCACTTTAAATGCTTATTTGTAAAATGAAGCTTTCATACAAGGAATTACAAAAATTAAAACAATGACATAAAAGATCAGTTTATGATGGACCGGGGTGTCATAGCTCTTGTCCCTCTTGCAGAACAGTCCAGGGGCTTTACTCCAGCATATTGTTCATTGTCCCAAAACCCAAAGGAGGCATTCACCCACATCTTGGACCTCAAAGACTTGAATGTCTACATTAGTGCTTCTAGTTCTCTGTCCAGCAGTACAGCGTCGAGGAAGCTGTTGCAAAGAGTCATGTGGAACTTTAATCTTAGTTCTGTTCCTGCTGTCCGCTTACAGTGACTTTTAACCCTTACTTGCTACCAGCTATCTGAGTCTGGCTCTTACCCTCAGCCCGTTCATTGTCTTTCTGCACTGCGGTAGCAACATGTCCAATTCTAAACATGGGAGGAACACAGGCCCACTGTACCGGGCCCCCCCCCAGCTCAATTTCTCCCAACAAGTCAGAACTGCTTGCAGTGCGCACCCTGATAGTGCCGATATCTGCAGCCTGGATTACAATTGTCTATAATCTTGCAGTCTGTCCTGTCTTTGGAGCCCTTTGACTCTGTCGGGTGTAGCTAGGTGTCCGGCCCTCTCGACTGAAGTTTTTAGTATGGTCATACAGGACTTTATAACCCAATCTACCTTTCCTATGCTGACTCTGATTTCAGAGGCCATATGTGCACTGCTATGCCCTCTCCTGCATATTATGTATCTCATTAATCTGCTGCCTTAGTGGTCTTTGACGCATGGGCTGCAGAGACTTTGTCTGATTTGGAGTCTCTGAAATCCCTGTCAGATGAGACAGTAGAGAACAGCGGCTTTAGACAGAGAGCCGCTCAGACCAGCTCTGTGCCGTGTGATCACATGGCAGTGTTTACATTGCCAAGCCCTCCCTTTCTCTTACATCAGAGGCGGGGGAGAGTAAAGGAAGTAATGAATAGTTGAGTTATCCATTCATCGCTTCCTAGAGTTCAAACAAGCTACAGTAGCAGCAAAAAAAAAAGTAAAATAATAGTTTTAACCTCTTCACCCTCCCTTCTCTCCTATATATGTTAAAGGAGAACTATGAGATGAGTGATTTCCACTCACCTCATAGTTCTAGCCGACCTGTGACAATGAGACTGTCACAGGTCGGCTCAGTAGATCGGGAGGTGAGCGAACACATACCGGCGCTCGCTCACCTTTCGATCCTGTCATGGCTGGATTCCCCTCTCCCCGCTCCGATCTGCCAGCGCTGACTGGCGGAACGGACGGGGGAGGGGGCGGGTACAGCTGGCTCTGCCTCTAGATAGGCAGAGCCAGCTGTCACTCACGCAGCTGGGCGGATCTCGACGCCGATGTCGGGATCCACTCCGGCTGCGGCGTCTCAATATACCGCGAGCTGTAGCTCGCGGTATACTGAGCTTAGGGTGATGGGAGGACGCTAGTTTGTGTCCTCCCGTTACCCTAAGGAGAACTATGGGGAAAAACACTGACCCCATAGTTCTCCTTTAACTCCATTCTTTCTATACTGTGATGTGTGTATTGACCCCTTCCATCTCCCTTTAAAAAAAATCAGATCACCTTGGAGTGTCTACTCTCCAAAAAGGGGTCATTTTGTGGATTTTCTTACTGTCCTGACATTAGTTGCTATGATTTATAAACAAAAGTAAGAGAAACAGGCTTTTTTGATTTTTTTTTGTTCTTTTTTTAACTATATATAGTAAAATAAATGTAAAAAACGGTTATTAAATACCACTAAAAGAAAGCTCTATTTGTCCCCAAAAAAATTATATAAAATGTATTCTGTTACAGTGTTGCTGACGGAGGAATTGTCAGCTAAACTTGCACAGCGCTGAAAACGGAAATATGAAGGGGGTGTAACATGCCGGTACTGAAGTGGTTAAACAATACAGAGCTGAATTTATTTGTGTCTTTTATAAGTGCCTGACATTTGGTATTAAAATATGTACTGGATGAATATACTATAGTGTTGCTTATGTTTTGTTTTCCTTTGCAGAAGGAGAAAGAGACAGAGTCTATTAGGGAGATGCTGCAGGATTTAGAGAGAGAGCTAATCTCAGCCCGCCAGCACCTGCAGGGGTGCGAAACAGAACACGAGCAGCAGAGGACAGAGACAGCCAAGAGAAAGCTCCTACTGCAAAACAGCGAGATGGCCAGAGAGACCCTGGAAGCAGAACTGAGATACATGCAGGCAGAGAGAGACAGACTTCAGGCTGAACTCAGACTGGTGATTGATAAAATTGCTATGATAGATAATCCCATCGGGTCACTTTTGGGCCGCAAGCTTTTATCAGCTTAATTGGAATGTATAATGGACTGGTGTTATGTTGATTTTTCTTCATTATAGTCATGTATGAAAAAGATACTTTGTGTAAACCTGGTTTGATCTTTTCACAATAGACGAGAAACAGCTTGGAGATGGAGCAGGGCAGATTGTATCAGGATGCCGAGACTCTGAATCGGGAGAAGTCTACGCTTAGTCTGCATTTGGAGGTTACAGCGAGAGAGAGTCACGACCTGAAGGAGAAACTCGGCGATGTCCAGTGAGTCTGCTCTGCCCTCAAAGTGGATACAAACACTAACTGGATAAAATGTAGTTTTCTGATGATTTCTTTTAGCCACTTTCATCCACTTCCTGCCCAGGTACTCGTTCCAGTGTCAGCTGCACACCAAGTTTCTGATAGAGACTAAGGATGGGCTCGGGCGTGTTCGCAGCTCCACGTGCCGAGCCAGGAAGCTGACAGCGCGCAGTGCCAATCACAGGTACTGAGACATTTTCCCGGTCTGCACCTGCAGAGATCGGGAAATGTCTCAGTGCCTGTGATTGGCGCTGTCAGCTTCCTGGCAGGCTCGCCACGTGGAGCTTAATAGAGACGACTGTGGCCCATCCTGTGTAATGTGTGTTGGCCTGACCATTGTCTGACTTACAACTGCATGCCATTTCTAAGGCCGTCATCTTACTTGCAGTAATGCTGACCAGGCGCTTCGCGGCCATGGGATTATAATGCATCTTGTGAGTCAGACAAGCCATGGGATTATAATGCATCTTGTGAGTCAGACAAGCCATGGGATTATAATGCATCTTGTGAGTCAGACAAGCCATGGGATTATAATGCATCTTGTGAGTCAGACAGTGGCCGTCTCCATCAGAAAAATAGCTGTGGAAGATTGCTGTCAGCACTATAATAGCTCCAACTACTACAGTGGTTTCCAGGATCCCCGTGGCCCTATCAGGAATAATTTATGTATACTTACTTTATGCCAAGCTAGACCATGGCTGGATTCCCCTCTCCCCGCTCCGATCTGCCAGCGCTGACTGGCGGAACGGACGGGGGAGGGGGCGGGTACAGCTGGCTCTGCCTCTAGATAGGCAGAGCCAGCTGTCACTCACGCAGCTGGGCGGATCTCGACGCCGATGTCGGGATCCACTCCGGCTGCGGCGTCTCAATATACCGCGAGCTGTAGCTCGCGGTATACTGAGCTTAGGGTGATGGGAGGACGCTAGTTTGTGTCCTCCCGTTACCCTAAGGAGAACTATGGGGAAAAACACTGACCCCATAGTTCTCCTTTAACTCCATTCTTTCTATACTGTGATGTGTGTATTGACCCCTTCCATCTCCCTTTAAAAAAAATCAGATCACCTTGGAGTGTCTACTCTCCAAAAAGGGGTCATTTTGTGGATTTTCTTACTGTCCTGACATTAGTTGCTATGATTTATAAACAAAAGTAAGAGAAACAGGCTTTTTTGATTTTTTTTTGTTCTTTTTTTAACTATATATAGTAAAATAAATGTAAAAAACGGTTATTAAATACCACTAAAAGAAAGCTCTATTTGTCCCCAAAAAAATTATATAAAATGTATTCTGTTACAGTGTTGCTGACGGAGGAATTGTCAGCTAAACTTGCACAGCGCTGAAAACGGAAATATGAAGGGGGTGTAACATGCCGGTACTGAAGTGGTTAAACAATACAGAGCTGAATTTATTTGTGTCTTTTATAAGTGCCTGACATTTGGTATTAAAATATGTACTGGATGAATATACTATAGTGTTGCTTATGTTTTGTTTTCCTTTGCAGAAGGAGAAAGAGACAGAGTCTATTAGGGAGATGCTGCAGGATTTAGAGAGAGAGCTAATCTCAGCCCGCCAGCACCTGCAGGGGTGCGAAACAGAACACGAGCAGCAGAGGACAGAGACAGCCAAGAGAAAGCTCCTACTGCAAAACAGCGAGATGGCCAGAGAGACCCTGGAAGCAGAACTGAGATACATGCAGGCAGAGAGAGACAGACTTCAGGCTGAACTCAGACTGGTGATTGATAAAATTGCTATGATAGATAATCCCATCGGGTCACTTTTGGGCCGCAAGCTTTTATCAGCTTAATTGGAATGTATAATGGACTGGTGTTATGTTGATTTTTCTTCATTATAGTCATGTATGAAAAAGATACTTTGTGTAAACCTGGTTTGATCTTTTCACAATAGACGAGAAACAGCTTGGAGATGGAGCAGGGCAGATTGTATCAGGATGCCGAGACTCTGAATCGGGAGAAGTCTACGCTTAGTCTGCATTTGGAGGTTACAGCGAGAGAGAGTCACGACCTGAAGGAGAAACTCGGCGATGTCCAGTGAGTCTGCTCTGCCCTCAAAGTGGATACAAACACTAACTGGATAAAATGTAGTTTTCTGATGATTTCTTTTAGCCACTTTCATCCACTTCCTGCCCAGGTACTCGTTCCAGTGTCAGCTGCACACCAAGTTTCTGATAGAGACTAAGGATGGGCTCGGGCGTGTTCGCAGCTCCACGTGCCGAGCCAGGAAGCTGACAGCGCGCAGTGCCAATCACAGGTACTGAGACATTTTCCCGGTCTGCACCTGCAGAGATCGGGAAATGTCTCAGTGCCTGTGATTGGCGCTGTCAGCTTCCTGGCAGGCTCGCCACGTGGAGCTTAATAGAGACGACTGTGGCCCATCCTGTGTAATGTGTGTTGGCCTGACCATTGTCTGACTTACAACTGCATGCCATTTCTAAGGCCGTCATCTTACTTGCAGTAATGCTGACCAGGCGCTTCGCGGCCATGGGATTATAATGCATCTTGTGAGTCAGACAAGCCATGGGATTATAATGCATCTTGTGAGTCAGACAGTGGCCGTCTCCATCAGAAAAATAGCTGTGGAAGATTGCTGTCAGCACTATAATAGCTCCAACTACTACAGTGGTTTCCAGGATCCCCGTGGCCCTATCAGGAATAATTTATGTATACTTACTTTATGCCAAGCTAGACCAATATAAGTATATACAAATCATTCTAGTTTAGCTTTAAATAGGTTGCGTTTTTTGGCAGAGACGTGACACTGCTTCAGACAGGAACCCTTCAGATGTAAACAAAAAATCAGTTATGGTAATCAGAAGATTGTTAAAATGCCAATCTGCTGCTCTGTATACGTTCTATTTATCAATACGTTGACAAATAAAGCTCAAGTGCCATCTGGTGGACAAATATTATAATGTATTTTATAGTCAAGCAGTCAACTGCAAAGTTAAAAAAAAAACCCCTAAAAGGATAGTTCAATTTGCTCCAACAGGGGAAAAAAATTCCTTCCTGATCGCCTTATGGGATCAGGAAGGGATTTTTTTCCCTTGTTGGAGCAAATTAAACTATGCTTTATAGGGGGGGGGGGTTTGCCTTCCTCTGGATCAACTGTGGATAACTGTGGGCATAGAATTCTGTTTTAGGTTTTTCTGCCGCTTCACTGGCATTATTATCTATCTTGGAGTCACAAAAGGAAGTGAAAGGAAATTTCAGTAAAGTTATAAAAATCCCCATCTTAAACTTTTGTCATCTGAAAAGGTGTCCCCATTGAAAGATTTGCCCTCACCTCTTACATTGGTAAACAACATTTTCTTATCGCTTTTTGTCTCAGTGACACTGGTCCCCAGGAAAAATGGCGAGGGGTCTAATTCTTCCCCACTCTATCAAAAACAAAATGTTTGGGTTATACATACACTTTTAGGATCAGGGGGTCACATTAAGGTTTGGGGTTTTGTGGTCTCATTTTAATTTAGCACTTCTTTGTGCTCGAAAGTACCAGGCACCGGGTTCTTGACACCGAAAGCCAAGGTCTATGCCTCACATGTACAGAAAACCATCATTAGAGGTTCCTTTAAAACCTGCTTGTGTTTTATACATATTCCATTAGGTCTGTGAAGGAGTCTCTTGAGAGTGCCCTCTTTACCGCACAGGAACTGAACTCTCAGTTGGAGATTAAGTGCAGTCAGCTGGAGATGGAGGTTGCAGTGGTCACTCAGTCCAAGAAGACAGTGCAAGGTGAGAGAAGAACATTGTGCAGTCGCTGTGCAGGTGGATAACAGAGGGCCTTTATAATTCTTCAAAAGCAGTCACCAAGCGAGCAGACAGTGCTATGTTTGCTCATTGGAAAGCCCAGAATGGTCTGTAATTATTGTTTGTTCGTAAAGTATATTTTTCACCTGCGTAAGCTTTATGATTGTTCTTAATGGGGTTCTTTTGTATACAGATGAAGCTACTCTGCTACATGCTGAACAGGAGACATCCCAGGATAGAATTCGTGTACTGTCCCAGAGACTGTCTGACCTGGAAGAGGAGTACCAGATAGAGAAGGCCAAAGGAGAACAACTCAAAATCATGCAGGTAAATAAAAAGCGGCCCAGCAAGGCCACATTCAGTGCCTATGTTGATGGGCTTTGGTTCACATCAAACTGCTTTTACATTCTCATACAAGTCTATGGAAATGCACAACCTACTTGAACCAGGACAAATGGAGGTCAGATACAGATAAGATGCACCTGTCAATCAATTCCAAATGATCTCAGAAGCATCTCATACCGAAGACACAGACAAAAGCCCAAAGCCTTTCCGACACCAGTCATTTACCTTTACTTCCAGAACCCTGCCTATTATTTAAAAGTCCATGTATCCCATCACACTCCTGACCGGAGAATGCCCAATGTGGCAGTGCTGGTGCAGCAGCGACAACGGATGCCTCCGTCAAAATGTACAAAAAAATAAATAAAGTCACCGGCACTCCAAATAATCAAGTCAATAAGTTTATTGACCCAAGTGATAACAACTCTGGCAACGTTTCGGGACCATACGGCCCCTTCCTGAGGCAAACAGGTCCCGAAATGTTGCTAGAGGTGTTATCACTTGGGTCAATATACTTATTGACTTGATTATTTGGAGTGCATGGATAGAGTGGGGAACGTTTAAGACCCCTGACAGTTTTTCTTATTGCCTTTTGTGCCCTGTCAGGGAGAATCCCCTTTACGTCCTAACCCAGAGACATAGTAGAAGGTAAGAGGAATCCCGTCCAAAGTGAACAGAATTCTCCTCTTTATCAGTTGTCACCAGAACAGGTTTTCCTTTGGAAGAGTTCGCCTCCTGGTCGCTGACAGTTGTACAATTTAGAATTTCCCATTACTTTTTGCTCCAGAAACTATAGACACCAGGACCAACAGAGAGTGGGAGTCTTTCCAGCAGGGACACAGCAATAAAACCCTGACAGTGGTTCTCACCCTTTCCGCCTCTCTCCAAACTAAAAAAGATTGACATACGTTTTAAACACGTTGAGGGGGATTTATCAAAACTGGAGCAGACAAAATCTGGAGCAGATTTGCACTGCAGCCAATCAGCTTCTCTGTCTCATTTCCTAATCTTACCTGAGCAAACTGAAGAGAGATGCTGATTGGTTGCCACTGGCAACTGCTCAAGATTCTGTTTGCTCTGGTTTTGATAAATTCCCCTCATTGTATACTCAAAAATACTACTGTTGCGGCATGCTAACAAAGTGTTGACATATTAAAAGGGTTTTGGTCTACGTATATCTGTTTAAAAAAAAGTTCAGATTTATAAATTAATCGTTTATAATTAATTGTATTATTTGTACTTCTTAGTTCTTAGTTTAGAAATATTTAATACAAAGTGCATTAGCTCGTTAGCGCTTGTTGACTGCACTCGTTCAGCGGGTATGTTTAGCTGTTTGCATAATCTAAAAGTCTAAATGCAACCATTGTAAATGCCTTGATTATTCTTGGCACAAGCCTCATGTAATCCAGAGTAAAGCAGCATTTAGCATGGGAGGAGGGCTAAGCTTAGAAGAGAGTAGAGTGAACAGCAGTGTCCTGCTGCTCCTTTATCTACCAATCAGTAGGCCGGAGGTGTTGACCAAGCTACTGGAGGTCAGAGAGCAGGCTGTGCCCTGCTGCAAGGGGTGTCTGGATCACAAAGCTAAACAAATGGCAAACGCACTCATCAACTTGTTACCAGCTTTACAGCAAGGTGCACATGGAAGGACATTTTACAGTAAAACAGCAAAAGGTTTTCCCAGCACACTCACCAGCCAGTATATAAAGCTGGTAACAAGTTGATGAGTGCATTTACCATTTGTTTTGCTTCACTATTCCCCCCCATGTGATAGCAGTCAAAGTAAAGTAAAAAAAAAACAAAAAACAGTTTTTAAAATTAAATTAAAATGAAATAAAATAAATCTAATAATAATTAAGAAAAAAATTAAAAGTCCCCCGCCCCCGCGAGCACACGCGTCGCCACGTTAACACGCGTCGGGTTTGCCTATGCATAAAAACGATGAACGCGCTACACATGTTGGGTATCGCCGCGCATGCCAGAGTGAAAGCAATAATTCTAGGGCCAGTTTTTTGGGGTATCTCTAAATTGATGACCTGTGGGGGCTTTTAAAGCGTCTTTTATTGACTTTTTGGGGTACTGCAGTTTTTCGCCGTTTCACGGTCGCACGCAATTTGTAAACTGGGCATGTTGGGTATCGTTTTACTCGTTGTAACCTCATCTTTTATATTTCATTTAAAAAATTGGTAATTTGTTGTGTTTTGGGGCATTTAATTAAATTTGTCACTAAATTTTGGGGTTTAATAAGGAGTTGCGCTAATATTGCGCAACATAAAAATGTTCAACTACCACCATTTTATTCTATAGGGTCTTGGCATTCAGAAAATATATAATGTTGGGGGGTTTTACGTCATTTTCAGGCCTAAAATGTGGAATATAACATGGGTGCAAAAAATGAAAAAAGGGCCTCAGTCATGAAGGGGTTAAGGGAGGTTGGGCTTCCTCCTGACAAACCTGCACCCAATTTGATCTTTTGCTACATGTGCTCCAAGATGGAGACTCTCATAGTTTGGAGTTAGGACCGCATTATTTAGAGGTGCCTTGGCGCGGCTGTGCGGCTTTTACATTTTCTGCAGAAGACATGTAACTAAACCTCTGTTTTTTAACCTTAGCGGTGAGACAAGTTTTTTTACATGCTGGCTGGTGAGTGTGGGTCTGGGAAAAATTGTGCTGGATCACAAAGCTGGCTCACTAGAATTACAATTCCTTCGGCAGGTATTTGAGATCCTTTATATATTTTTTCTAATATTTAGAGGCTTCATGTTCAGCTTTATAATGATTGCATCAATTACCTCAGGAGTTTATAGAGAATACATCTAGATAGATAGAGTATGAGTACATCAGAGAAGTCTTTTTTTTTTTAATGTTAGTTGTATTTTACACTGTTCACTGTCTCTTTCAGAAAGAATTGGATACAGTAAAAAGACTTCTAGAAGAAGAAAGGTCAACGCGACAGACTGCCGAAGAACGAGTTCAGAAACTGGAAGAGGAGGGACGGGTGGCAGAACTTCTCCAGGCTAAGCTTGAAAGAGTGAATGACTCCCTGAGACAGCTGGAGACTGAATCTTCTGAGCTCAGAGAGACTCTTCAAAAGATCCAGTGCGATAAAGAAAACGCCTTGGAAACGTTGGAGCGCCAACAGCTACTCACGAACGAACTGGACCGTGAAATGGAAATTTTAAAACAGACTTTAAAAGAGTGTCAGGAAGAAAAAGAGAGCGCTCTGGCAACCTTGTCGGATTATGGTGTCCAACTAAAAGAGAGAGATAAGCAAATTAGGGAGCTTAGAGGAAATATCCAAGAGTGCAGTGAAGAGAAGGAGACTGCTTTGACATCTGCAGCAGAACTCCGTGTGGTGGTGCAAGAAAGAGATCGTGAAATCAAGACACTGAAAGACACAGTGCTACTGTTCCAGCAGGAGAGAGAGACAGCTGCTAATGACTTACAAGAGCAAATCCAAAGTACTACAGAGACAGAAGAGCAAATGTCTTTTCTAGCTAAAAGCCTGGAAGAGAGTGAAAGTTTGAAAGAGAGTGCCCTGAGAGCAGAAGAAAGATGCCGTCTGCTTGTCACAGAGAGAGACCAACAAATTCACACTTTGAATGAGAATCTTAGACTCTCTGATGTAGAAAAGGAGAAACTTTTGCAGCAACTTTCTGCCGCAGCTTTAGAGTCAGTGCAGGAGCATTCAGCACTACTAGAACGTCTCCGGCAATGCCAAGTAGAACAGGAGGCCGTGGTTAATGCTCTGCAGCAAACTTTAGGAGAGCGGGATAAAGAAATCAAAAAATTAGAAGACAGCATGAAAGAGAAACAAATTGAAACAGCGAAGCTGACAGAGAAATTAGCACAGCAAACTCTATCTATAGAAGAAAGGGACTCTCTGATCGAGTCTCTACGAGTCAGACTTGTGGAGTGTGAATCTGAGAAAGATGATCTGTCGCTTTCAAAAAGGCAATGTGAGCAGAACCTGGCATCATTAAAGGAAACCCTTCATGAGTGCTGTGAGGACAAGGAGAGGTACGTCTGCTTAGTGCAGTCCCAGAATGAGAAGGTACAAGAAAGAAACAATGAAATAGAAATTCTGAAAGGGACTGTCTTCTCTGCCCAAAAGGAAAAAGAAACTCTTCTCTGTGATTTGAAGGCACGGGAGAGCTCCTTAAAAGAAAAAGACGCTGCTTATGCATCTCTACAAGAGACTCTGCAGGAGAGCCAGCAGACAAGGGAAGGTCTGGTGCAGACTATTGAACAGCAAGAAAACAATATAATGTCCTTGAAAGAGAACTTAGAGGAAAGCAAGAAAAAGTGGTCCAGTGCACAAACAACAATTGTGAGCTTGGAATCTCAAATAGCGTCCATACAGAGACAGACTAGGATAGAGGAAGAGCGACTGAGAGAAAAAATAATGGAACACGTTCAAACCCTGAAAAAAAAAGAGGAGGAAATTGAAGTGTTGGAGAAACAAACCCAGAGAGATCGCAGGAGTCAAAATGATAAGCTGGAAGAGCTGTCACACACCGTCAAAGAGAATGAAATGGAGATGCAAAATCTTAAGAGAGAGAACAAAGAGTTGCAAAGCAGACTTTCTGAAGCTCTGGAAGAGAGAGAAAAATTGGAAAAACGAATGGGGAGTGACATCAAGACTTTGAGAGACCAAGTGCAAGAACATTTACAGTCAGTGTTGGAAAAGGAGGTTGAGTCAGAGGAAAAGAGGTTGCAATTTGAAAAAGAAAGCAGGGCCATGGCAGAAAATATCAAAGAACTTTTGCAGCTCCTAAAAGAAAAGGACATTCAGGAACAACAGAATGAGGAGTGTATAGTAGACCTAAAGAGACAAATACAAGACTTTCAGTGTGTTCTACAAGAGAAGGAGAGAGAGGCAGAAAAGGAGAAGATCCAGAACAGTAACGACGTTATGACACTAAAACAAAGAGTTGCAGAATTTTCCCAAGTACTGACTGAGAGAGAGATTCAAGGTGAAGAGAAACAAGGACACATAAATGCTCTGAAAAAGCGAATAGATATACTTACCCAGGAGCTAGCCGATAAGAACAGTGTTGCATCAAAAGCAGAAGAGGAGAGGAAAGCAGTGCTGGATTGGTTGAGTGAGCTTTCTCTGTCCTTTATTGGGGACATCTGGAAAGGACAAGATCAAAGCCAATCTCTAACAGAGCAATTAGAATTCGTTCAGAAAGTGCTGAAAGAAAAGGAATGTCAAAGAGAAGAAGAGAAAAGGGAGAGAGACAAATTGATAAAAAGAGTTTCACATTTGACTGAGGCTTTCAAAGACAAAAAACAAGAGTTGGATGAGGCAGGAGCCAAGGTGAGATCTTTCAAAGAAAATATAGAAGAACTTGTATTAAAAGAAGAAGAGGTGAAACATATGGTAGTACAGAATGAACAAGAAAAGTTATCTTTAAAGCAAAGTGTGTCTCAGCTGTCCCAGGAATTAACAGATAAGGAAAAGGAGATGCAAGTGAAAGAACTCGATCTGAAATATCTGAGAGAAGAGATGGCAGACCTTAGACAAACTTTGATGAGCAGGGATCTGGACACCAGCGAGAAGGAAAAAGTTATGGAGGAAGACAAAACAGCTCTAACACAAAGAATATCGGAACTCTCTCAAGCTTTAAGGAAAAGAGAAAGAGAATTAGAAGACAAAGAACTTGAGAAAGAAACTTTCAAAACTAAGGTAGCAAAACTTGGACAAGAGCTGCAAAACAAAGAGCAAGACATGAAAGAGAAGGCAAGAGAAAATGAACAAGAAAAGACATTCTTGAGGCAAAGAATCACAGACCTTTCACAGTCTATCAAGGACGTGAAGCAAGAAGTGGAGATTAAGAATGTTGAGGTGGCCTTACTAAGAGAGAAGATAGAAAAGCTTGAAGGAAATGTCCTAGACCAAGAAAGGGAACTGGCAGAGAAGGACACCAAGATGGCGGAAGATCAAAAATGTCATAAACAGAGATTTACAGAACTTCACCAGTCTTTAATACAGAAGAAAATAGAAGAAAAAGAGAAAGAATTGAAGATGAAAACATTGAAAGAAAAGATAGAAGAACTGAGGCAAGCTTTACTTGACAAGGAAAAGGAGGTTCAGGAAAAAGAGAGGCAAAGCGAAGAAGGAAAAAACACCCTGCACGAGAGAATAACAGAACTTTCCCGGTCTCTAACGCAGAAGGAGAGAGAAGCAGATGAAGTCAAGTTTGAAATGATGTCTCTAAGAGACAAGGTGGAAGAATTCAGATTAGTACTAGTAGAAAAAGAGCAAGATATAAACCAAGGGGAGGAAGAAAAGAGAACCCTGAAGAAAAGGATAAGAGACATTTCTCAGTCTCTCGCAGAAAAGGAGCAAGACACAGCAGAAACAAAACTGGAGGTACAATATGAGGAACAAAAGAGGGCTTTGCAGCAGAAAGCAAAAGACGTAACCCAGACTCTACTTAAGAAGGAGAGAGAAGCCAGTCAGCACGCACAAGATATGAAATCTCTTAGAGAAGAGGTTGGAAAACTCAAAAATATCATAGCAGAAAAAGATCGAGTATTAGAACAAGTGAAGAGACAGAATGAAGGAGATAAGAGGTCTCTGCAGCAGCGACTGAATGACCTTTCTCGGGCTGTTTTTGAGAAGGAGCAAGTAGCTGAGGATTCAAAACATGAAATAAAAGCCCTACAAGATAACGTAGCAGAGCTTAAACTATCCCTGTTCAGTAAAGAAAAACAGGAACTTGCAAAAGAAAGGGACAATGAAGAGTTAAAGAGAGCATGGAGTCAGAGAGTGATGGAACTATCACATGCCTTACTGGAGAAAGATGGACAAGCCGATGATGCTAATAAGGAGATGAAGTCCTTCAGAAATAGAATAGAGGAACTGAGACAAGCTCTGACAAATAAAGAAAAGGAGATTAAAGAGTTGTCAGGAAGGTGGGAACGTGAGAATAATTCGCTGAGGCACAAAGTAGCAGAACTTTCTCAGACCCTAATAGAGAAAGACCGAGACTCCCATAAGATGAAGAATGCAATAAAATCCATGAAAGAGGCCGATGAAAAAACTGGACAGGTTCTGAACGATAGAGAACAGGAGCTCAATGACAAAGAAAGATTTACTGAGGAGGTAAAGACAGAACTCAGACGTGTACTAGCAGAACGTTCGCAGGCTCTTGCGGAAAAGGAGAAACAAACAGCAGTGATGGAACAAGAGTTAAAAGTTAGGGGTGAGCAGATTGAAGCTCTTAGACAGGTCTTGCTTAATAAAGATCAGGAAATGAGCCTGAAAGAGACAAAGTATGAAGAAGAAAGACTGTACCTGAGACAAAAAGTAGTAGATCTTTCTCAGGCAAGGTCAGAAAAAGAGAGGCAGGCAGAGGTGACCAATGCAAAGAATAACTCCTTAAAAGAGGAGATAAAAGAATTACAACAAGTTCTCATGTACAAAGATCTAGAGATGGAGCAGAAAGTGAGACATGACGAGGAGGAGAACTATCTCAGGAAAAGAATAATGGAACTTTCCCAAATTCTAGAGGTAAAGGAAGGTGTGATAAGAGAGGGCGACGTTAAAGACAGACAGGAGCATGTTGCAGGAAAAATAGAAATAAACCCAGAAGAATTATTTTCAAGGGCAAGTCCTAACAGTGAATGGAAAGCACCAGAACATTTTGCAGGGACCAAACTAGAACAAGAACAATTAGCGAGTGACAGAGGAACACAATTTCTGGGTGGGAACAGAAAGGACTCGGACAACCAGCATGGGGAAATCAAAGAAGAAGGAATGAATACTCAGTACAAAAACGAGGATATAAGAATACACGAGCTGAAAGAAGAAATTAAAGCTCTTTATCGTGAAAGAGAAGAATCTATCAAGAGAGAGTTGATGCTGAGACAGAGGTTTGAAAAAACAAAAACTGCGCTAAGACAGATGGAGGCTGATGAAATCTCTAGGAGGCAGAGTTCTCAGGAAATGGAAGCTGGGAAGACCAATAGGAAGGTAAGATGACTGCATTTTGGTACATACAGTCAGGGAAATTTATCAAAATCTGGAGCCGCTGTGCATGGCAACCAATCAGCTTCTCTCTTTCATTTTCAAATCTTAACTGAACAAACTGAAGAGAGAAGCTGATTGGTTGCCATGGGCAACTGCGCCAGATTCTGTCTACTCCAGTTTTGATACATTCCCCCAGTATGTTTAAGAAGAAACTAAAGCACTACTGAAACCATTGTCCTTAAAAAAATAAAGGCATTTTAAGTCTTAATTGTTACAGTTGTCACCAGGAGGTAAGAAATCTTCCAGTGGGACACCTCTTCCAATGACAATTGTCGAAGAGGGAATCTCCCCTCACTACCTGTTGTGTCTACAGGACCTGAAGTAAAGGGAAATATTACCAATAGGGTATAGAGCAAACGAGCTGGATCTCTTAAATAATTAGGTGTTCTCAGTCAGGTCATAAGCAGTAGAGAGAGGGAATGATTATCCTTTGGCAGCTTCCCCATGAGTGGTGGCCGAAGATTACCTCTGTGCTTGAGTAGGCACTGGGTGTGCAAGGGGGAAAGTGACAAAAGCAGAACATGACTTCTGTATAGGAGTTACGAATTAGATTATAAGATGCTGTGGAGGGTCGCTGTGAACGTGCTACTTTGCTTTGCATGGACAAACACTGGTTCACTGCTAAATAAAGATATCTTTTTTTTTTTTTATACAGTATGTATACATATATATATTAGGGATGTCCCGATACCCCTTTTTTAATACCAAGTACAAGTACTTCCCCTCATGTACTTGCCAATACCAATTACCGATACTTTTTCTTAAAGGGACAGGTGACATTTAAAAAAAAACAATAGACTAATGATTTTAGGCCAATTTGTTTATGATTATGAAGAACTTTAATTTAAGACTGTTTTAGAACAATAAAACATCTAACCTATTCATGTTTTCAACTGCGATCGTGTGGGACCGCCCAGGCGGTATTGCGGCGGGAAACCGCGCAATCTGCCTGGCGCGAATGGAGTACCATTAGAAAATAATGGCACTGCCAGCGCAATCGGCGGTGGTGTGCGATTCCATGACCGCCCAGCCATCTACTCGGTTTTGTGCACCATGACCGGGCGGTCATGGATTGCACACCAC